TTTTGTTGATACAGATATGAACGATTTGGTTTTGAGTTTTGTGGTCCGGTGAAATCCATGTAGCTTTGTGTATGCGTTTGTGCGGGAATATTGTGCCACCGATGACCAGTTTGTTGAAGGCACAAATGTTTGCGAATATCTCACCTTTTTCGTCCCTTTCTCCTAGTCCATGTCGTCCTATGATGTCGTCATATCCAGTGTTGTCCATTCCAACCTTGGCATTCAAGAATCGTCAAATCCTTCGGTGAATATTTCTCGACGATTGACTGCAGCCTTTCGTAGAATTGATCTTTAACGTCGTCATTGTAGTCATTGGTAGGTGCATAACATTGGATGACGTTCATTGTAATGTCCTCTTTCTTTATTTTGAAGGATGCTTTAATGATCCTGAGTCCATGAGATTCCCATCCTATGAGCGCCTTTTGTGCATGTTTGGACAGCATCAGTGCAACTCCTTGTGTATGTGAAGCATTTTCCTCTTCATGACCAGAGTATAACAGCATTTCCCCTGAAGCTAGTCTCGATTGTCCTGCGTCGAAGGTTCTACTGGCGGAGTTCAATATACTTCTATTTCACAAATATCTTTTAAGAGGAAAATAACACGACTCCATTTGATTATTCTCTGCTGCTGATAACCTGTCATATTTAGAGCCACAATTACAAATTGGCCGTTAATTTCTTACATGAAAGCAATCTGTTTGTCACACATCAGAATGGTGAACATAAATAAAACGGACGGATTAAGAGATTTTAAATTAGTATGAATGAAATGAATGAAGTGACAAATTAGCACTTTCTAATGCCAAATTTCATAGATATCCATGAAACGATGAGTTTTCGCTTTAAATAGTTACGTTTGACGATCATACACTCATCACGTGGTTGTTCAGTGATTGGTTAGTTTGTATTTCGAAATGTGATCTTATGTATTGTGGGAATGTTTACGACTTAGTCTACAATAATTTGTTGGTTGGCTGTGAATTGAACAGAGTTTTGGTTCACACTGTTTTGATTGGTGGTTAAAAACTGTGTTTTACGTACTTCAATATCATTTGAAGAAAGAGGAATTCTCTTGACCGATTGCATTATTGTGTATCATTGGCATTTGAGTGTGATAAGAGAGTAGGGGTTATTTGAATGACATTATGATCTAAACTGTGATGAATATTCACATGAGTTCACGAGACAGAGAGGGCGTATTTTCAGTTATTACGTAACTATGACATCATTGACCTCCTTCTACGTAATTTCATTTCTCTCGATGAATCTGTTGACAAGACTAAATCACATGGTCAGTCGAATGGTCGATTCGACATCGTTGTTTTCAACCATTAAGTTTGTATGATTTGCCTTCTAAAAAAAATTAAAGACTGGAAGTGAAGTGGTAGACCAGTCAGTTAAGTAAGAAAATATTTGTAGCTCTCCGTCAATGTGTTTGAGAGAAGTACCACAATAGGATAGTTGATTTTGAGAATTATAATCTTTCAATCATGGTACTTCTAATCCTTAGACAATATGGAAAAGGTCTGCAATAAAATGTTTGATTCCGAATTTCAAATCAAGAATTGATCTAGGGCCGATCATCACACAGGTCACAAAATCACTGTCATGCTAATCGATAGCAACATAATATGAGAATGGCAATGAGTGAATAACTTAATTAAAGTGTACCCGTATATAAGGGAAAATGAATCAGTCACCGGATCATTTAGACGAATGGTCCATCGCTAAATTCATTGTAAAATTCGATGACGTAACATTTCATTTCTCGAATATTCTACACCGAACCATTACGCGCACATTTGTATCGATTTCAAATAAGGCCGTTCTTCCATTCATAGAGACAAATCGAACCAGTGAATATATGAAACTTTTTTCAGTTTCACTAAGAAAAACTGGATTCCGCTGATGATCAAACATTGAGCGGTTCATGATAACACTGAAAGAGATCAGTATAAATACACAAAAGAAAGATAATTATCTTCTTCATTATGAATAACCAACAGAAATTAAAGGAACCTAACAAAGTGCATTAACTGAACTCCATTTATATTGAAACTCTCCAACTATGAATATTGAATATGTGTGTACTGCTTCTTGATTAGTAAATACAAATTACTAATGCATTTATTGTAACTTAACAGTCGCAAGTTGTGACTAGGTGTTAACTCGTAAGTCGAAAATATACTAGATAAATTGCGTAACGAAATATCCACTGTATTTGCATTAACTACTTATGTCTATTACCCTCAATGCAGTATAGACTGTCGACCAGTATTCTCCCTCCTATTGTGTGCTGAACCTTCTGTTCAAGTCCTATTCAATTTTTCTTCATTTTGTCTCTTTAATGTCTCATTTTCTCAGCGCATATTATTTTTTCGTGTTCCACTTTTGCTTTTTCTCAAGGATAACATAGGGGGGCTTGTCATGTGACTCAGTTAGGTGCTTTCAATTTAAGTTGTACGCTTGAAAGAAATGCCAATTCATTTAAACAAGTGAACAGAGATGAAATCAACTGTCAATCAGAATGGATTAAATAAGTATATTTACCTGCTACTACTACTACTACCAATACTACTACTACTACTTTTACTACTACTACGATTACCACTACTGTTAATCGTATATTACAAGTCATCATTGCTTCACTCTGACTGTCGTTTCTTCCTGTTGACTAGTTTAAGATTGAGAAAATAAATTTTGTGTTTCAGATGTAACATTTTGTAGAATCATTATTATTCCACTGTCTTTATTTTATAATGTTTTATATTCTACTTCTGGGTGAACAGTACAAAATCATGAAACATTACACACACACACACACGCAAACATCATGAGATGATGTCATCATTTGTGACTAACTGTTGTTTTAATCAGAAGGCTTGTAATTAGAAGAAATAAGAAATGACCATAAATAAATTATTCGATAAATGTATCGATCATTATTTACATGTGTAATCAATCGATTACAGTATCGATGATTGTGTATTTGCAGTGTGTGTGTGTGTGAGGATGCTTACTCAATTATCACATGTGCAGACTTTCATTGCCTGACTATAAATACTGAGTCATTGCCTCAGCATGCAGAGAGTCTACTCGCTCGCCTTCTTCAACTGGATTCGATTTGCTTTGCTTGTGCGCTTTCCGTTCTGATGTCTGTCTGCATAGGTGAATGCATGAAGTGAATTATTCAGCAAAATTGTATTTGGCTGCTTACTGTCGGCGTCACATGAACGGGGTTTGTATAATTATGATATACGGAAATGGAAAGGAAGATTTATTTCACAGCACACTCGATCATTCGTCCACACTGCAGTTCAGTCTAAGGCGCTAAAATGTCATGTGTGGTAACTTTTGTCTATTTGCGATTTCTTTATCATCGAAATATGTGTTTTTACAATGACGCAAATGTAATCGAGTGAAAAGATAACAATCAAACACAGATGAATATTGGTTAGTAATAAACTTCAACATAGGCTTTGTGTTCTATTTATTATCAGTCAAATAATGTTTCTGCTTCTCAGAGTTGATTTTACTCAGGTACTCAAACCTCAGTCCCTCTCATTTTCAAGGTCGTTGCGTATTCAAATAAATACTAAGCTTAGATAGACATTGACTTGCGTAATTCAGTGAAGTTTGACACATTCCTATTTGTATTTTGAACTCTTTCATTAACAGTCATCAGCATTGTAATGAATCAATCGCATTTGGTATGTTTACATCTTGTACGGATTGACACGTTATAAGCGAAGTGAACATCATCACTCAGATGCAAGTACATCCAGATGACTAATACGAAATAGGATGAAATAGGGATCTTCGATTCCACCCGTTTCATGATCACAATCCACATCTGTTAATCATGCTTATATTCGAATAGGCAGCATCGAGGTAATGCATACACAATCCATATATGTATATAATGAGACTGATCAATTGCAGTCCTTAAACATCAATGCAAAAAACATTCAAACGATCAGACTACAAACGTAATCATCATGATAGAAAATTTTGTGGAAAATCTATATACGTAGATATACTCTCTCTTCAAATGATATTAAAGTGAGTAACTACACATTTCAACATTCAATCAAAACAGTTTCAAACACAACTATGTTCAATTCACAGCCAATCAACATATTAGTGTAGAATAAGTAGAGTTCATTCCCCCAATAAATAAGATCGCATTTCCAACTAAAAATCAACCAATCACTGAACAACCACGTGATGAGTGTATGATCGTCAAATCAACTATATAAAGACAAAACTCATCGTTTCATGGATATCTATGAAATCATGCATTGGGAAGTGTTAACTTTTCAACTCGTTGTCATCCTACTACACATCAACTGCATTTTTTCACAGTCAGAAAGTAAGTACTTCATCGTCACTGCACTCACACAAACACATTGACACAATTCTAACACACTGTTTCTCATCAATTATATTTATGTGTGATAAAAAGCGATTCTCAATTGGAATATGAGATAGTCCTGTTCATGCTCCAGGAATTCAGTTTGTTGAATGGATCGACAGTCGGAACATCATTGATGATTGTCTATTTAACTCCATGGACGCTGGAAAATTTCAAGTTTTTCAAGGTGGCTATTTGTAATGTGTTTGGCAGTTCAACACGACTTATTCCATCTGACTGCACTACATAACTCTATGATCATTATCGTTTCTATGTCAGTGATGTTGCGTGATATATTGTGCCACTTGTCGAGTTCCAGCAGATTAGGACGATCGACAGTGCGGTTGATTTCCATTCCATTTTGCTAGCTCAGATGGAATACATGTTTGACAAATCGAATACAGCCATCATTTATTATGTCTCATCATTTTAATAGTCCGTAGCAAACGATTGTGTAAGAGTTCTAGATCAAAAATTGCAGTCAACGATTTCAAATACGATTTAAACCATTCCACCAATCAGCTTATCAAAGAACGTTATCAAAAATTTCTAAAAACCTGTAATTTATTCATTTTTTATTTCACAGAAACCAACAGTGAAACAAAGTCGTCTGAAATGAAACTTCCAAACGGTCAACCCGTGCGACGTACACGATCACCAACTGTTAACAGACCGAGACCTAGAAGAGCTCGATTTCTCCACCTAGCAAGACCACTACACATTTATTCCTCCGGTTTTGTGGCTGACTATTCCAATGTTCGGGAATAAGACATGTAGACTGGACTTGGAGATACAATTGAATTATCCATTCAGCTGGGATCAACTTCAAATATACAATTGTCTTTCAGATTACAATCTCAGAATGCATTTATGTACCAAACTGAAACTGATGAATTATAAAAAATGTGCATTTGAAATGAGTGAGTTATAAATGATTGAGTTGCTCTGTTTCGGTTATGTGAATAAAATCCAATGGTTGGATATGTAGTGTGAATGTTCCGTGTGTTCGTACGGATTGTGAAAATGTTGTGTTAGGTAGAGTGGATTGAAGTCGACAGTCTTATCAGAATCCTGTTTGATCATCTTCGTGAAGATAGCATTAAGCATTCGTGATACTAGTCATCAAATTCGTAAGTGAATTTATCACCTCATCGAACAGCGTAATTCGAGACCTCGTATTGCGAATAAATATACAGGAAACAGTGAATAATTTTTCAGTAAAGTGTGGCTTCATTTCCTCGATAATATGATATGATATGATATCGGTACTGATATCTTTCGAGAAGATGAAGATCACGAAATTTCCCCTGTCCATTACAACAGTTTAATGCACATTCTGAATGTCAATGATTATCCTCTCTGGATAAAATCACATGACCATCATCGATGGTAAATCAAGTTGTCGATTTGATCCAGTTTTTTCATACAAAGTTCTTCCTAATTGAGTTGCCGTAAGTTAAAATAAGCATCTAAAAGTGTAAACGACAGAATATTCAATCAACTAAGAACAAGTTTGATGTTCTTCCATAATGAGTTTGACAGAAATTCTGCTATCGGATAGATGATGAAGCAAATCTTGAGTAAATTGACTGATTTTATTCAAGCTACTTAGCGTTATTAAGTAGCATAGAGTATGTTTTGAGACTCTGTCAAGAATACGGAATCAAACGGTTTATTGCAGACCTCTTCCATACCGCATAGTTAATAGAAGTAGCATGATTGAAGCAAATCATTTTAATGAAAATTCTCATTACCAACTATCCTAAAGTAGTATTTCTGTTAAATGCATTGATCGAGAGCACCAAATTGTATCTTATTTCATTGACCAATCTTCCACTTCACTTTCATTCTTTTATTTTTATTTTTAGAACGCAAATTATGCAAACCTCGAGGGTGAAAACAACAATGTCGAATCGACAGTTCGACTAATCATGTGATTTGGTCTTGTGAGGAGATTCATTGAAAGAAACGAATTTATGTAGAAAGAGGTCATTGATGTCATATTTATGTAACACTTGAACTTCAATTAAATAATCTTACTGGGTAGAGATTGAATAAGAATTAAGAATGATGATGAGTTGATGATGTGTTGAAAAAACGGTTAGACTAAAGTTCTGATAGATGAACTCAGAACGGGGTATAGAATACGACAGCTGAATCTATTAGAGCTCACTGACTGTTTAATTCGTCAGCTGCTGTGCCTAATTTTAGCACAACATTCACTGATCTGTTACCGCACAATCAGTTTCCTGAATAACCTTGTCTTTTGTAAGAAAGGTTTTTTGTATGACGCCATCAATTGTAAATGAGTGAAAAAATTGATTTGAATATAAGAAATCATGTACATAAACTGATCTCTGAAACACAAGGTCTACGAGGTCGAATGAATGAAACGACTGATTAGTACAGATGACAGGATTTGTGGAATGAGTAAAAAAATATTTGAAGGCAGATTGTGCAAAAAATGAATCTATTCAGTATTTGTATGTTTGTTACTCTGAACTGCAAGATTAAATAATTTTTTTTCTTGTCCTCTCGAACAATTTCACTGTAGAATACGGTTGCTTTCGCAACATTGATCAAAAATATCTATCCAACACTGTGGGAAAGCAATGGGTAGCTTAATTTCTGAGGTTTACTTAGTTCTTGGTCGGGTTCTTCGAAAATCATTAGAAAGACGCATTAGAAAGACGCAGATTTTCACCACACAATTGTTTAGAAAAGTGCATCGTCAGATGCTTATACATTATAAGCTAATGATATTCACTGCAAGAAAACAAGTACGTATAAACTGTAGATCATACCGTTACCAAGGAGTTAGTAGTTTACATCTAAACTGTGTATCGTGGGCTATTTCGAAATGATACTTATGGATTATTTCACGATTTCTAGTTTGCGAACCTGCGAACATTGCTGAATTTAAAGTCTAACAACACTGATTGGTCTCTGACAAATAGTTCTACTCATGACCCTAAAGCATCATAATGACTAGACCAAATTTATAATAATTAGTTAATGTAGATTAGTTTTCATTTGTAAATTGAAACCGTTGGCGGAGATTTGGACCGCCACTCGTTGACATTGTCAATAATATAATAACCCGAAGTGGATGAAATCCACTGAATAAGTAGGGAGATTTTCTTTCACTGGTTATCACTCATTACTCACTTTCTTACTCCTGTTACCCTCCATGCAGCATAGGCTGCCGACCATTTGACTTCAACGAAATCTGTCCTGGGATTTCCTTCCCAGTTCATCCCAATTTATTTCTTTTTCCCCATCTCTTCCTCTATTTCTCGACGTATTGTGTTTCTTAGCATTCCTCTTTTCCTGTTACCTTGTTTTGTGACACAGTCAGATGCTTATCGCAATGTCCTATCCACTTTCACCGCTTCTTCCTGATTTCCTCCTCCGGTAGAATCTCATTTGTTCTCTCACACAGTAGGTTGTTGCTGATTTTGTTAGGCGAACTAAACCTCAGTCCTTGGTTCAAGTAGTTGGTAATGAATATGTGTATATTCTGGATGATTGTTTTCGTAGTTCTCCAAAGTTCCGTTCTATACAGTGGAACTGTTTTGACATTTGTATCAAAAACCTCAAATTTTTGTTTGTAGATTGTTTTTTGACGTTTCAGATGTTTTTCAATTTTTTAAATGCAGCATTTGCTTTGCTAATTCGAATCCAACTTGCTCGTCAATGATGCTGTCCAGAAACGTAAAGCATTTTACGTCCACCAAGGTAACTCCATGAAGAACTGTTTGTTTGGCGCATGTTGTGCTGTATCGGTGAATATTGTTTTACCTTTATGAGACTTTAGAATGTTCTGCATGCACGATTTTGCACTTTACTGTATGCTTCTGTGTATTCAGCTTGTGCCTAAACTTTCTCTGCTCTTGTTTGGCTGTAATTGATTGCTTCTTTCTTGTTCCTCCTTTCTTCAATTTTTTCAAGAGAAGCAACAGATATCCATTACTTGTGATGGTACATTCTGTGTCCGAGAACCTCTATATGTTGGAGTGATTGCCTCCTTGATCCAATTCCAATTGTTTTCCATGGTTGTTTTCTCTCCGTTGACTATATCGTGCAAAGCCTTGAACCTATTACTGAAGGCTATCTTGAATTCTCTGGGCTTTTCAAAATACCGAAGTAAATCCGTATCAAAATACTGTGATGTTCTTTTCGCGTTTTCCAGCGTTTTTATAGTTTTAGTTTCGTTTTGGTGATCAACAAGTGATGATCTGAGGCGATATTATCTTCTATCTTGGTTCTAGGGTTGGTTTCTAGGGTTTTTGACTGTCCTTTCTGTGAGAAGTGGCATCATTCTCGTAACTCACAAAAAACTCGGTTTTCATCATGAAATGTAATAATTCTTCTGAAAGAAGTCCTTTCAACTCACTGAGCCGAGTTAAAGTGGTTTGAATTAGGTATGCTGATTAGGGTGTTTCTAGCTATTTGTTTTATTGATTGCATGCGACCGTCAAACCCCATGATCAACCCACCTCCCTTACACAGGCTTGGGACAGACAGTTGCCCACAGGGGCTCCAGAAGGAATTTATGATTTATTTGGAACTTATAATTCCTGTTGATAACAGTTATTACACCGAACAAATGGCCATGTTTAGTCAGTATCTGATAATTAGGCAAACTAAAAAAATTTCCAGCTGCAAACTTCACTTTGGAGACTGTTATTGTATGACCAGTTAATATGAACTACAGTAGCGTTAAGAGTGTAATACACTCTTATATACAGTATTCATTCAAAAAGTACTCGAATTTACTGGATATAGAAATTATAATGACTACTAAAATATGTTGCTTATACCTGCACTACATATTTTTACAGTACTACTCTCAAAATACAAAGCAAATTTATGCAGAACTGGATTCAAGTGGATCTTACTCGATTTTCTGTTGAAACGTCACTAATGCTGACGCTCTTACGAGGAAAGATTATATTTTCCAATGTGTTCGGGGTTGAAAGTTGACAGTGAATTGATGATAATCATTTATAGAATTGTCATCGCAATAACAAACAACAACTTTTCAGTAAATTCATTCACTACACAAAAGTATATTTAAAGTCTCTTTCATTTAATATACGCAAAAGATTAACAGTAAATTATGCAGTTCAAAAAATTTAAAACATTCAAATGTCTTTTTTACTCACATAAGAGATATGAATAAGAATATTGATTTATCTGATACACCAAATAGATTGATAGACTGCTTAGTAAATACACTAGTAATTATTATTTGACATGAAAAAACAATAACACCAGTTCGTAGTAGGTTTTCTTTTGTTATTGTGGCGACTAAAACTACATCTATCATCAAAATAACGATTAACCTAGATTGGTCGATTTGTGAATATATTGTTCAGTTTTAATGTTGAAATGTATATAGTGTAATTGGATTTGCTTATTTTTTTTCATATAGATTAGAGGTAATTAGTAAAAACTGAAGCAATACGCAAGATAGTTTGAGAGTTTTTATAAATTAGACTAAATCGTGTGTTAACATATTACAAAATAGTAATAGAAAATGTATTGACTATGTTAACCGAGGTATTTGTTTGTTACCAGCAATTTTAATAATAATGTCGACTGTAGATAGTGACTTCCATTAAAAGGTTGGATAATGTATAAAGCGATGCGCACAACTATGGATACAGTGATGAGAGAAAACAATAAAAATGGAGAATGAATTTATGAGCTAATCATATTGATGCTAGTCGTTGACTGTTATAATGACTTACCCTCAACTACGTTACAAGTGAAAACTTCCTTTACTATCAATCGATACACCCCGACACAACCGATTATATTTGATGTGTTCTCACAAATATTGAAAACGAATGTGAATGAAAACATTGCAACTTTGAGAAACAAGGTTGGAAGCAATTGTCATTTTGAATTAGTGCAATGCTGTTTTGAGTTCAGTTAGATCGATTGATTTCGATGTCATCAAACACCTGTGTGCAAAAAGACTCTACTAGACGGAACGGCTAAATGAATTTTCCCCCATACAATGATTGTTAATTTATGATAAACAATTACGCTCTTCATGCAATGGTGACTGAGAGTTTGGACAGGACAGTAGATTTCCAATAAATAAAGCATTCACTTTACTTCAGCTAACATAAAATCTTTACAATCACCATGAGCACATTGAACATTAACATCACAGCTCCATCCCTCTTGTAACTAAATTTGATTAGAAACCTTGGGATTAATTTAGGGAAATATAACAGTTCCCTACCACGTCTGAGTATACAACTTCTATTGATAATTGATTGCATCGATTTTTTTGAAAAAATTACGTTTTTTACACATAAAATACTTTTTGTTACTTTAAGTTTACTTACGCCAACGTTTTCTGAATTAAATCATTGACATGAGAGCAAACTCATTGATCGAATAAGCTTAATTCTACTGATACGCCTGCTAAAAGAACTAAAGATCTGAACTTCCAATCGCTTATGATAACCACAGATTAGTTATGACTTCATGCATATAACATTTTAGAAGGATTAATTTAGAAATAGAAGGGATCACAATAATAAAAGCTGATTATCTTCGTAAAATGATAAACATTGTTAGGCCGGCCAGTTATGAAAATCAACACACTTTTATCTGCTCGCATACACTCGAGTTTGATTACTTTGATTGTGGTTGAGCCTGTTTAGTAACAAATTTAACTGATAGAATCATTCATACAGTAAGCGCTAGTCTAAACCATCGTACCTTCAGTACTGTCGCGATTGTGTGAGCAAGTATGAGTAAGCATACGTTACAGACCATGCATATATTCATTCTACATGCTATAATGCTATCCGCTAATATAAATGAGTAGCCTATTCACTTTCTGATGTATATATGTGCATTTTATTGCTATCATTTTGCACCTCTTCACTTGCATATCATTTTATTTTCACTTGGTTATCTTGCGGTTTCGTGATTGCTATGTGTTAACAAACATCATCGACATCTCGTATGGATTTACTGGATTTTTTACACCATTGGGCGTTCTCTAGTAACTGTTAT